ATAAAAATATTGCAACTTAAATAATTGCATTGTTATGTTGCTGTGGCCTGATCTAATTGGGTAAATAATCCAATGAGACTGATGGGCTGATGGGATCGTTGGAAAGGAAATTAAACACCTTTCTCCGCGCAATTTATCCGGTTTTCGTTCTGTCGTTAAGATGCCAGAGCAACTCGTTGAGTAGCCACTTCAACCGCTTGAGATGCGTCTTCCACTCCCCAATGATTTCTTCGCTCCTGTTCGACTGTCGGAAAGCGAAGTCCATGACTTGAAAGCTGTCGAGGCACAGCTCCTCTCCGCATACGTGGCCAGTTACGAGGCGCATGTGAACGACTCGAATTGGAAGCTTGTAGGACAGCGTACTGGCTTTCAAATATTGCGCCAGCGACAGAAAAAGGTAAAATGGTCGGGTAGTATGCAGCTAGAGCCAGAGCCGGAGCCAGAGAGGTGTGCAGATTCGAGTAGTCGCCGACGCACTGACGAAAGTGAGCTCCCAGCGCTTCGCCTTGTTGGTAGTGTGGATGGCACGTTAGAAGAAGTTTTGTACGGATCTACGTGGAAATCCGGTCGGGAAAGGGCCGCTAGAGCCTATTTAACTGGAGATGGAGTGTTAGATGGAGCTATTCTTTGCTCCATTGAGACACCGTCGAGTGTGGACCCTTATCGATCGCTGAGTGTTAAGTGGGCATTGAGACGGGGTTCTCACGGTGGCTTAGTGGTTAAACATAGGGACTTTTGTTATCTGGCCGCGACAGGTATCGTGCATTCGCCTCTTTCGGGTGTCAAATTGGGCTATCGATTGCGTCACTCGATTACATTTCCATCCTGTCCGCCATTTCAGAACCATTCGGTGGTGAGAGGACAGATATTTTTTTGTTCATTGTTCAGACAGCAAAGAAATGGTACCGTTGGAGTTTTTCATGAAGGAAAATATGATGTCGGCGGAGGAAATGGTAGCATTGGTCTAAGCGTACCAACATCCATGGCTGAAGAGAGCCTTGTCGAGACACTTTCGAGTTTAGCAGATATTCGAGCTTGTGCACTTGTAAAAAAACTGACCCGAGTAGTGGAATACATGGAGGGGGAGCGTGGAACTGCTTCGCTGTCAACTTATTCGGTTCAGGAGTCACTTGATGGCGAGAGGCGTTGTGGAATGTGTCTACGCTGTCTTGGTGACGTCTTGAAACGTCGCTGTGCAGCATGTCGTCATTGGACGTGTACAGAGTGCAGTGAACGTCAGAGCATTATTTCGGTGAAAAGAAGGGAAGAGAAACATGGTTCTGTAGTTACTCGTTGTTTCTGTAAGGCCTGTGTAGCCAAGGTGCTATCTGACGATGTTACGAAGTACTCGTTGTGCAATGCTGATGACAAGGAGTACGAGATACCCTGTAGAAGGTGGGGTCACGATGACATCTCTGATGGAGAAGACAATAAACATCATGCGCCACATCGACAGTTCTCGGTGGAACATTTCTCAAATTATTCGTCTCACTCAGACGAGTTCATTTATCTTCGAGAGCGTCAAATTCTATCTAGTGGGCTGAATAGCATTAATTTGGGTTCATTCTCGTCAAATTTACGTAATTCCACGAAACAATTCTCAAACAACAGCGACGAAAATAATACCGTCAGTACATCGCCAGTTGAATGTCGTCGACGGCGCAGCGCCTCTTCCATTCCAGCACTTGCTTATGCTTCCGACACTCTATACCAACGCCAACCACGGCGGCGACTTAGTTTGAATGCACCGGACATTATGCTACGAAGTGATGTGGGCCAGCGCAACTGGGAGTCTTCCACATCAGCATTGTCCCTCCAGTCCCCGCAAAGAATATAGCTTTTTGATCGTTATTTGCCGTAGAAACTTTTAGGTATATTGCTATCAGCGCCGATTTTCTATTCGGCAGCATTGGCTTTTATTTGAAACGAAGTAGTTAGGTTCGTGCTTGTACATGAACTTCTAGTAAAAAGAAGCGGCGATAGTTGATTGAAACTTTACCTATTTTATCAGCGTTAAGTGAACCTTCACTGTTAGCATTGGTGTTGCACGGAATGAGTAGTAACTGCGTGAAGAACTAGTTTTTTTCTGGTTTTGTACATGGCTTAAGCAACGGAGCGGCAACGAGAAGACTCTACGCTGATTATTGCGATACATTATTTATTTGAGACATGGGGATACGTTGCGGCATTGCTCTCCGGAGACGTTAAGGGATTGGCTCTCTACGGAAGCCTGTCTTCTGAGTCATTATGCCTGTCTTATGCGTAACTGTTCTCTCTTACGACTTTTCGTTGAGCCACAGACAACTAGATCATACATACACTTGAGAATTTAATTCTTTGAACACAGTTAAACATTTTAGTATACCCATGAAGTATTTCACCTACCTACTGCTTGCAACTTTGACTAACGCGCAGAATGAGACCCAAAGGTGCGATATGGGAGCCATAATGGGTACATTGCTACCGAACGGCACGACTTGGCAGGAAAACTGTGCCAATGCGACGGGTGTCAATGTATTTCAAATCATCACATTCCCTACAAAAGAGGAGGCAAAGAGGGTACAACAGTCGCGCGACTGCGTCAACTACATCAACCAGCTAAATCAAGAAGCCAATACCGCTATTCAGTGTGAAACGACGATTGGTAACCAGACGATCGCCTTTGCGTCGCTACTCACAGACTTACTAAAAGGCAAATCCAGTAACAAGACCAAGCGAATCGTCCATCACCAGAGTATGTCTGGTAGCATGTCTGGGAGTGTCTCGCTCTCGACTAGTGACTTTAGCAGCGACTCAACTTCCTCCAGTGGGTCAACTATGAGCAGCTTGGCGTCAGACGACGAAGCTTCAAGACCATATGCAGACGATCAGGAGGGCAGCACCAGCCCCTCAACTAGTAGCGCTAGCGTTTTTACAGCCACCACCTTTCCCTTCGTTGCAGTAGCCGCTACCATCTTGCTCGCTGTTGCGCTTTAATCGATGGACCATCTATGCTGATATTGAATTTAATACATCTCGTTGAGGTGGACACACTAATTTTACTTTACACTTAACATGACCTTATTATTACTTCGCGTTGCCATGAATTGGAAAGGTAGTGCGAGCATGAGCACCCATACTTGTTAACCCAATACAGTATGTAGAATACTAAGATTCGTAAAAACGGTGCAGGAATAAAGCTCGAGATTAGCGAGTCATACAAATTAGCTCTCATGAGGATAGTAGCCTCGTACATATGGTGCCACAAAGCTGTATGAACGGAGTGGGATAAGCAAGGGCAACGATCAGTCAACGCCTTCCCGCACTTCCTTTGATCGGCAGTCGAGGCTGTTTTTACTACTACGCTCCTTATCCCCACTTGCCAATTTCTTTCAACCTTAGCAGGTATCCAGCGTTCTCGTCGCTCTACCATGAAGGCTGTTTTTCTATCTGCCACAGCTCTGATCGCTGCTGCCACCTATTCGAAGGCCGCTGACTGCGACATGAACAAAATCGAAAGCCTTCTCTACCCAAATGCCACCCAAGGCCTCGCATCCTGCGCTAATGCTACGGGTATCGACATCTTTGCAGTGAATCAATTTCCCACTTCGGATCAAGTAGAATTGCTATCCGAGAATGTAGTATGTGCCAATTATTACAACCAAATCAACCAAGTTGCCAATGCTGAGATCCAGTGTAATGTCACGATCGAAGGTGTACCCGTCATTTTTGGCGGACTAATTGCCGATTTTCTCATGGGTAAAACCGGAAACGAGACTGACGAAAATAGCGGGTCGATTGAGTTTCAGAGCGAGAGCGCATCACAGTATTCAGACCCAACCAACCAGGATAGCTCGGCCGTCGATTCTGACTCAAGGTCTAACACTCCCGATGATACTACTGATAGCAGCGGGTCGTCACGTACGCAGCTGTTTTCCTTCTTTGCTTGCGGTCTAGCCACCGTCATGATGATAGCTTACCAATAAAAATTGTGTCAATCCTTCGTAAATATACCATAGCGTTTACTTTATACTCGACGCTGTGTGTTGGATTGAAAATTTTCAGAAAATACAGAATGCGCATCGGGAAGGCTAGACTTAACGCAAGGAGCTGTGCTGAATGAGCACATTTATTGTAGGTTATCTTGCCATTCAAATCAGAAGTACACACTACCTAATTTACTCAGTGGTAACGACAACCCTGTAAATGCCTCCCGAAAATAAGCTTGGCATTTTAGCTATAAAGGTGTGAGTAAGTTACTGATATTTTGAGGCATGTTGAAAAGTAAAAAATATGAACAAAATTTATTAGTAAAGCATACGTCATCTCGATACCAAAGACCTATATAGCATGTGTAAGGATTTACACTTTATAAGCAGTCAGTCTGTATGAGTCAGACTCACCAAAAACGCCTCAGCAGTAAATGGATCAAGATCAAAGCTCCGGTAGACTTATAAAGTCTTACTGTTATTAGCAACATTACATACACTAGCTCATTTTTTTATGTCAGAACAATCTAAGTGATTATAAGTTTTCCACTTCACCATGTGCAGATCAAATATCTTACGAGGACGCGAGCTCACTCATTGCTCTACACAGAAGTGACCCCCATATTGCTCATCAAGCAGAGAAGGAGAGCAGGCAAAAAAGGCTCACAAGGTTGCCTCTCGTGAACTTTCTCAATTCTAATGACACGTCGACTTTCTATGAAAGTAGAAAAGTGCGTCCGATGCAGACATAGTAATCTCTCAGACACGCTCCCGGAACTGCGCATTTAGGCCAGCTGGCCTGAGATTTCACCAGCGTATCAGAACCTGGTTTGCTGTTTATAGTAGAAGAATTCTCAGTTCCAGGTTTGATGACGATTGGCCTGTACTTTGCATGTCACACGAACTCTGGTAATAGGTGTGTGTGTCACACGAGATGGGCATGGTGGACTGCACCCAAATAAGAATACGGTATGCCAGTAGTTATGCATGTATTAATAAATAGAAATATACAGGAAAATCTAATTTAAAATGTAGAGATTTTTTTAAGAAAATTTATACATTTAAAATTAGGCGGCTTTGCCGCAGATAGAAATAAATAAAGTCAATTTTGGATTTTAAAAGGAAGAGTTAATTAGGCTTGGGTTAGGGCAATAATAACACTTGGAGTAAGCGGATCGCGATCCGCTAAACTCGTACTTGTTTTAAGTATAGAACGAAAGGTCCGTGACCTAACTTACGCTTCCTCAAAGCGCAAAGCTAGGACAGCCCCGCTGCAGCATCGGAGTTGACCTTGATGGCGGAGTCTTGGTGAGGCTTTAGTATGACCAAATAACTACTGGGTGAATTTGAGAGCCCTCCTTCACCAAGACCGGAGCTACTTTGTAGAGGTGACAAATAAAAGTGGGGAATAGTGAACAAATTGTCAAAACAGTAAAACTGGTTGAGGCGATGCGAAACGCAACTTCAATGAGTGGGGATAACTCTCTCGAGCATAGTGACTATTTGGTTTAAGTGCTTTGAAAGATATCCTTCTCTAACTATGAACGTCCTCTGTCTGACCGTGTGTCGGAGGATGTCTTTCTCGATGTATGGTCAATACGGTAATAATACTCTAGAATAAAGCTTACCAACACTTGCTGAAAACCGCGGATCAAGACTTGAGGCAATAGCAACCACTAGGCCATGTTGGTGAACCTTTGGTGAGTAATAATTCGGCTTTATCCTCGCCCATAACCGATGCACCATCTTACTTAGACAGCCAACAAAGACCATAGTGCGTGTATGCGTCTAGTCTGAAGTATCGATGTAAAAGTTTTGCAAACAGACAGCCAACATTCTACCAAACGATAAAAATAAAACTTATTAACTTGCTCCATTTGCACGGCTAGGATTATAAATGATGGCGAAGTTTCCTGTTAGTAAACATCGTTAGCTTGTACGCATGTGAGTGACCAGAACAATTTCATCACACACTTCCCGATCGGGTAGGGGCAATGTTCATGATGAGTCTTGTCACTACGCCGTAATATTGCTCAAACAAGGAGCTGTCTCATCGCACGAAGAGCTTTTCAATTGTACCAGAACATGAGCTTAGCTGCTTTTCCGGTGCTGTAGTACCAATTTAACGACCACAAAGTCCTTCAATTTATTGCGAACACCACTAGGAATAAATTTGTCATACTACAGGACACTTCACCTAATGTGTTGAGGAGAGACTACTAATCCCTGGGATAAAAGCTATATACAAGCTCTGCGGACCTCCAATAAACCACTCGGTAGACACGTACTCGGAGTTACTGAGCACTGTCATTCCTTGACAAGGATAAATCATCTATCATAACGTCAAGCCTTTGCGTTTCCACTTGCGCCTCAAAACGACTTTATTTACCGCGAATTGCCTTGGCAATAGCGCCACGAAACTCTTTTGAGTCAAATACCGGTGTCAAGTCCTGGAGACCTCCACATACGTCAAATTTATAAATCTTGTGATAAACCTAGTAAGATCCCCGCTTTACTAGGTTAGGAGGTAATGAATTGTATACGTACATGCACATCTCACATTAGTACTTATAACGAAAGAGAGTTATGTACTCTCAAAATGAATAACTCGCTGATAACGTAAGCTGGTAGCCGCACGCAATGCATTCAAGAGTTTATTTTTGTGATTTTAAACACGGTATAGCTTTCGCGATATTTGAGCTAGTTTGTTCACTAGATGAAACCTTCATCAATATAGGCTAGTGTAAGTACTAGGCATCGGAGAGGCTAACAATCCGGTATTTAGAGACGACTGGTAAATTTGATCTCCATACGGCAATCATTGCGAGCTCTCACAGCCAAAGCTTTTTCTGTGCAATGCACAGCAACTCTGTTGCAAAGTCCAACTACAGATTAGTGTATGAAGTTTAAGATAGTCTTCATTTTCAATAACAAAGTCATCTGTGTAATGTACATAATATAACACTGTTGTATCTCGGCCTTAGCGTGATCTCTTAACTACCATGATGATTTACAAAATTCATAATAACACTCGATGCGATCAAAGAGATGGTTTAGAGCAGAATACCGTGGGACACGTGGCTAGCCTCACGCAATACCCCATACAATTTTATGTGATAACAACAAAAGAGGCATTATTTATAGCTAGTCTTTACTTCGAATCTAAGATATTTAATATGGCTATGTGTAAGTACTAGGTACTTGAAGAGCTTGGAAGTCTGAATAAGAATGTAGATGATATGTATTATGTTTACGTATCTGGTCTAGACATAACAAAAGACATACTTGAAAGAGTGAGATTTAGTTGTTTCTCAGGCATTATGGCAATCGGCGACCAAAGGCATAGAAGCCGTTACAGCTTACCTTGGGGCTCCATCAGTGTTGAAAATGATAAAAATATACCAGTGGGATTAGCATTAGCTTTCAAAGAAATCTGAAAGCAATGCCGCTTATTTTGCGCGGCACGCCCTTCGAAGGCAGCGACAGAGAAGTAGCATCCCATGGATGCAAGAATTAAGATATGATTTCTCCAAAGACACAGCAACATTGTGTCGCGCTAGCAGTTTTTACATCAGAAGGTCGCACGCGATAATGGACACTAACGTGAGATTTTTTGTGAGTGCGATAATGTCCACATCTGTAGTACACAAGCAAAAGAATTCCCGTATCCTTGATTTGCCTAATCTTTTTATCTCCTACAGTCACAGCTTTACTTACAAGTCAAGAAGAAAAGCAATTTGGGTGTTATTTCAAGAGTTAGAAGCTGATGTTTTGTCATAGACGATATTTTTTCGATCTTCAAGTTGAGACCCTAAGAGCCGCGACCCGTTCTGTGATCCTCCGCTTGAATCCACACATTTTGAGAAAGCGGTGAGTGTCGCATTGAATGCAAAAAAGGCCTCGATATACAAGAGTTGATTGGGTTGCGTGAGGCAGGACTCTAAGAGCGTATTGTAGGCGATCGAACGGTATGACAGCGATCACCTAGCTGCTGAGCACATAATACACATCGAGTATTTATGTCCTGAGTACTCCATCTCTCGATGGATAAGTGCGTAGGATTGACCTCCAACGGTGGGTTAATCGATATACCACCCATAAGGAAATGTAGATCTTGGATCAGTTCAGGGAGGCAAATGTAAAGGTGTATATATGTTAATCGAGTGGCGGTAATTATTTGTGAAAAAGTGGATCACACTGCCCGTGTTTGTAGAAAGCAAACATTCAACGCCCTGCTCCTTGTAAAGCAGATTAAGGTAAAAGTTACGTGCGATCACGTGATCGTAAGTTGTTTTCATCTTTCTATAACGTTAGTAAACTTTTGGACAGCACTGTTAAATACTTTGGTTCAAGACTCGAATTCGGGATACAGTGTCATGCTGATTGTGGTGTGACTAGAACGCCATAAGCCATGAGTCATGATCGATTAGAAGACGAAGGCGTTATGTGCAAGGCGCTCACACTTCAACAGTTTCCTCGCCTAAAATGCATTTTTTTTCTTGTGCGGGCACAACTGACCAAAATAGTCAGCAACTATATTGTTGAGAGCCTTACGCAAACTCGTCAGGTAGAAGCGGCTCCAAGGTGCGGAATCTAAATTTGACGAGAATGATCGTCGGTATGTCGCCGTCTCACGACTGTTTCTTTAATGAAATGTGTATTTCTGCCGGAAGCTTGGGCTCTTAGAGTTCTGTTCGGATGGGAGGGTGAGTGTAGCCCTACTAGCATCGGCGGATTCTCTTCTTCTCGTGCTTTCTTAACGCGTATGACTAGATGAACTACCTGAAAGGTTCTACTTCATGTTCGACGTCATTAAACGCTTTATTTGATGAGGAAGGCGGGATGTTCACTAAGATAAACAGTCATACGAACTCACCAAATAGTGGCAGAACACCTGCGTATTAATCGAATACTACACAGCATTGTCGTTCCCCCCAGCAGAAATATTCACAAGATTCAAATGCTCCCCACGTTTCGTTCTGCACTGTACGACCGCTCTCGTTCCTCGAGGCCTCCATAGCAAATATGCATATGTTAATTTACTCAGGTCAAAGTGTACACACCGCAATTTGAGCGCCGGATGGTGGAAGGCACGATACCTTAATCCTTGGCTTCAGAAGCCAGGTTGTATGAAGCGAGAGTTTGGTATTATTCGCCGAATGCGACGTCAACATTAAGGTGGGTAATCACGCTTAGGTTAATTACGTTCTGACAACAATTCTGATTATTGCCATGAGCCTGTTGGTGCATCCACTAGCCAGATTATGAGATCGAAACCAGGCCGGGCCACATTTTCTTGTGAGACGATGCATTGAGCAAAAATGATCTCTTGCTTACGGAAATAACAACAGAGCGCGTGCTGAGTCGCAATTATCATCAATGCTGTGATATTCTTGACGAATGCTACTTTTCGAGCTCTCATTGTTTTTAAGGAAAGATCAACGTCTCTACCTGACCAAAAAACCAGCACAGTCGGGGTGTACTAGTCGACTCACAATTTCCTTTACATTAAAGTGACCGCTCTTGGCTAATCGAGCAAAGTCGGCGGACAACAAATCTCATGTGTATTACTCTCGCCGGTATTCTTGTTTGTGGTGGTAGGTCAACAATATCCGAGAGCCCCGTCGAGCGCTTAATACACAATTGGGTCATCTCTTAGACATGTTCGTGGACCCATGCAACTGAACTGTTAGTTTAAGGCAACCTAAACAATTTAGAGCAAATATCCGCTCTGTCGCAGAGATAGCCAGCTACAAAGGACAGTTTTGGCGTCGAATTGTCCCGAGCAGGTCGCTGCGCATCCGAGTGTATTGCCATTGGTGATTCGACGCTCTCGTATGGCTTTTGTACGACCTCATAAAAGGCTGGATTTGTGATATTCTTTGAAAAATTATGCGAATGAATCAGTCCGTTTTTGGTAAATTAAGTCCTTAAAGCTATAGACTAGATGGTCAACCGTATAAAAACACTCTATACTACGGTTGACCTATCACACCACACTTAAGACTTCAAGTGTGTTTGGTCTGTTTGGCAATTATAGATTCCTTCTACTTTGTTACAGCTCCAGCGCATGATGTGTAGCCTCTTCAATGTGAATGTCGATTCTGCTAAGACGTTTTGTCGGGATAAGTTTGTGAGTCGATCTATACCGAAAAACCATCACCAATTAATATAGGAGCCGTTTGTGGTAGTGTCAACAAATACGGAGTTAGACAAGCGACATAGAAGTGTTGTAAATTACTGAGTCAGAACGAAAATTTGATTGATATGAAGCGTATCGCCCGATCATTATGGTTGCTCCGTGCGAGAACTTGTAGAATATCATTTTCCAAGCTATCAACGCGTTGTAGGTTTTGTACATAGATAAATACATCATCTGTTAAAATTTGACCCACATGGAATATAATCTCAATTTAAGCCAATGCTTACCTGCAGGGCATTTAGCAAAATAATGTTCTTGAAGAATTACGCGGTTATCCTCACGTAAACGATGTCATTGACAGCAGCAAGATTTGAAATATAGTCCACAAACACGGCAAATTTAATTACAGGACCCTTCTGTTAAAAGCAAATATATAATGCATGCAATTTAATTGACAACTGGTAAAAAAAACGCTGTCGATTTTGGCGGGAATTCTAAAGTTGCTATCTCTATTACGTTAGTATTTATCCGATGTCCAATCATAGATTGAAGTCCTTAGCACTCAACAGGACCTTTAAGCTTTTCTACTAAGGTGTCCAGGTCGAGGGGTTTGTCTAAAAATTGCAATTTAGACCCTCATCACGATATACAATTCCATCCTACCCGTCAGAGGAATTATTTGAACGTTACTCCTTCCCATCAGATGATCTGTGCTCTGATATTCCAGCCTTTCGGTTAATCTCTCGGATTGATATAGCTTTAATTACAACGAAAAGTTACATCCAAATTCAAAATGCTTTACTTTGAGCTTTCATCAAGCAATGCATGTAGTGTCTGACTCGTATACTATGACGTAGCATTTAACGTTACACGACGTCAGCATTATGACATGTAACAGCTCATGTTGTGGGCGATCAGACAGCACATTCGGCGCCTCAATAAGCTGGATTGGTCTGTAACTTACCCAAATTATTTTCTCGGATATTGAAAATGACCATCACATCTTTCTTCATAAAGATTTATCAGCGATATCGCTGTGCGTGAGAAGCATGAATTAGAAATGGTAGGTGAACCATGATTCATAGTAAGTCGCTTCTTAACATGAAGTAGCTCAAACTTTGCTGGCATTGTACACTGTCGAACTTGAGCACAATGGTGCGTTTATATTTGCCTTGAAAAATGCACAGACCTATGACAAAGGTTGAAGCGTCACAAAACATGTGAAATGATAACAATGGGCACAATAAGGCAAACAGCTGGCCTTCTAAGGAAGCTGAAAAAGCTTATTTTATCTTCTCCATAGCATCATTTAGCATATTTTTCAGTGAACTAGCGAGCAGACTTGCTATTACTGCATATCTAGCACTTTGTTTGTATTGCTAGTTGGCCAGATCCAAGCCTTCAGTACAATGTTTTCGGATACTGACACAGCTAATCTAGTATGGCCTTGATCTCGGCAATATTTATCGTTAAAAATATCGTGAGCTATTCCGGAAAACGTGTTCTGTCAGCATCAAAGCCACATCGTGTTCTGTCAGCATCAAAGTCACATTTAAACTTTTGGGATTTTTTTAGTACATACTTTCGAGGACTGGTCGTAACTCGCTCATGTGTCTTTCCGCATTCAGTTGCCGTGATCTGTGCGGCAATGGACGCATTTATAATCGACATATATCGATTCAAATGTTTAAGAAGGCCAAACCAGCTATGTCAAGAGATGTAATCAAAAGAAAGGTATATTCACCAGCTACTGGAATATAACCGGCCACTCAAACAAAATCTTTTTCGGAGAGCTCACTGGAAATTTCTGGCACTATTAAGCAGCCGCTTTGTGGCCAAGAGCGCTGGAGAGGACACACCTGACCGTGTCATATTGCAGCATATACTTTTAAAAAATCAGACTGCACAAATTTGCGGATGCATTAGTCTTGTCATTACAGTGCCTAGAATTGCCACTTGCTGTTACCCTTCGAAAATCGGGCCGAGTAAGTTTTTTTTATTTGAACATATTTGCATAGCTAAAAGGGTCGATGACATCGCTTTTTCGGTAAACGCGATCGACGTATTACGCTATATTTTGTTGCAGAAAATAAACTCCGACTCCTTTCTTTTTAATATAATCTGGTGAAACATTCGTTGCGCTCCTCTTTTCATGACTCCTCTGCCTACTATCCTACAGCAACATTGTGAAGGTCCGTCAATTTTTTGATAATAACTATTCATGTTCTCGCTCTCATGTTTTCTGTCTTTTTTAAGTAACTATCCACGATGGGTGATGAGCTGAGCTCCATCCTTAGTCCTAGTAGTGTCAGCTCGGTAAATTACCATCTTGTGGTTCTTTATACAGAAAACCTTGTAGAAATCTTTCGCGCTCTTAAGTTTCCACCTGGGACAGTAAGAAAGACTAATATCCTTTTGGCCACGAAGCTCATATGCTACGCGCGATAAGCATTTTACTTGATCTAACTGATTTAATGGTACCCCCCCGCATCGAAACAAAATGAAGAGATTTTTTTTAATATCAGAGTCCGGTTCTTCTGCCATCGAGACACGTTAGACTGTTTTTGCTCTTAAAAATGCGGTAAATGTCACCCACATTTGTTTCACCGGAAGTAATATCGTGAATCCCGACCTTTTAGACGAAAAAATATAGCCCGACATACAAACATCGGTAGAGCGCGACTTAAAGATGCAACATTCGTTCCCGTGCAAAAACGCACTCTACTTTCTAGCCGATGTGGGCCTCAAACTCACCATAGCTCCAAGAGCAAAGAAATGCATGGCACCTTTTGATTGCAGCTATCAGTCCTTCCATGATCCAGTGTTTTCGTCCAGTCCGCACTTAAACTATGATTTAATTCCGGATCAAGAAGTGAGGCCAAAATGCATGATATTAAAATCATGGTATCCTTTTTGATATATTTAAATCATTAGAATAATATTTTACACCATGATAAGTATCCCGGCTGCATGAATTTAGCGTCCACACTTGCGATTCTTAATGCTCGCGAATGTTTTGACTGTGATTTCATAACATGCCTGCGGCTATCAGATTTTTTCATCAATATACAAAGCTGGTAGAGTTTGTGTAACGACAACAAACCAAGAATGTTAGCCCCATTTCATGAGGGGTAGGTCAAAATGACTGCAATTTAGATATGTCCCAGCTCATTCCCAGTATGTCACCCTGCGCATACAAGAGCACGTCCCTGTTCGAAAAGTCAGCGACACCAATATTTACGGTAAACTCCGTACGGTCGCGGCTCGAACATAATCTTTACCGTCGAACAGTAACTCTGAGGAAGTTCTGGTTGTCGAAGCGAATGCGAGTTGAATTTCGAGCCTCAACGGTTAGATGGAATGTCGACAGACTCTTGACGGGAAATATCGGCCGATATGTTCTTTTTGAATTTCGCAACACTTGGACATTCTACCAAAATTATTTTCCCTTGGCGGGCTGATATTGAGTTTTACCCCGCGCAGGATGTCAGACCAGGCAGTGCATGTACTCACGATGTCTGTCGCTTATTTGTTTAAATCGGAATGGAAATGCATTGTATACAGAAACACCACAAGCTGATGGCCGTCTCGCGCGCAACCTACTTGCTTGTAGACTGGTAAATGTCTTTGCGTCTTAACCACTTGACGCTGAACTCGAATATGCTATCTCTATACAGCTCTGCAGAAACTTGTGGTGTATTTACTCACGTCTGGCTGAGAATGTTCCATCAGCGTGACTTCAGAGCTGTAGAGCGCCCCAGGCACACGTATCGCTTGGACCAAAAACGACGATAGTATATCACGCCTTTCTGGCTGGCTGGGAGACAGAAATTGGACCACCTTTGTAGCATTCTCATCAAACAAGGGTTCATCAGTCCAGCCGACGAGTGCTACCAAGTACAATGGGGCTTACGCATGACTAGTACAAAAAAACCTTTCTTACATATGGTAAGCTTGTAAAGTACATCCAAAAGCGAAATCAAGCGCTCCTAGAAATTAAAAATTAGCTTCTGCTAAACTCAAGAGTATCTATATTGGGAGTTAAGTCAAGCCATTACAGAAAGCAATATATTTCGCTATCTACATTACCGACTACATATAACGGAAAATAGCAGACCACTGCGAATTTTCTAGATCTCCACTTTTCAAATCCATTCTACCTGATCCGAACCACTACCTCGTTATTAAGCTTGATCATGAATCTTAATCTTGGTATTTCGAGCTTGACTCTATTGCTGATGGACATCAGCGACAATAATGTCAGGTGTATGGGACCATGTTTTGATACGTCCCCAAATATATGTCACGGTTGTTTTTCCTGGGTAAAGATTGCATGTCTCCTAATTGTCTTACCGCTTTGCAGGCAGTGAAGAATACGTCCCGGGTAGATCAATTTATAAGACCTAATCTTAAAAGTACCAAGTGCGATGTGGATGTCAAGATGGCTGCTGATCACGAGATGATTGTGATATCATCAGTCATGCTCGTCCTCAACTACCAGCAAAGTTATGCACCTGGAGCAAGGGCAATCTTTAATTGCCTACCACGAACACAGGATGAGTTCGAATGTACTCAAAAAATTGATAGCATTGAAGTGAGGTCGCAACTTAGCCTTATAAACCAAAGATACTGCTGTGTATGTAGTTCGATAGCATTATTATAAAACTATGTGTTTGTAGCATAGCGTCCGCCACTTGGCGCATGGCGTAATTTTGATATACAATGCCTTGTATTATAGTGTCAAGCTACATTCATGAGGGTCCAATAGAAATCAGTTCTATATCATAAACTAGCCTGCACTTGTTTGAGTAACGAATTCCCGAAGGGCTCTGTCGGTCGACTCAGCATTGACATTCAATCCTTCGCACCTTTCAAAGCGAGCATGATGGGTGTATATATTTCTTTACCGTTATAAATTAACATCCCCAAATTCAACAGCGCTGCTCACCAGGTCAAGTATCTTTTTCCACCTTAGCTTGACAGGGATTCTATTATCCACCACAGTCACAAATCCTCAAGCTTTTGTGATTTGACATTTGTAAGCTGTATTTCGCATTAAAACACAATATCTGCTTCGTCAAACGTGGTTGTGTAAGCGCGGGAGATCTCATCGCAAATCATACATATACGGACTTTTTATTATGGCAAAAGTCAGTGTTTCCAGACAAGGATTTGCCTGCTTAGATGTCTTAACCCTTGGACAGAGCTGTCTAGTTTTCTCCCGCTTCATGGTCAGAGGAACTTTGACTGCACATGTTATTTTCGTGCGAGCATTTGCAACTTCCGTCGTTTAGAATTTCTCTATGCGATGAATACCTCGTATGCCGATACCTAATAATCCATTCTTGTAAACAATCTCCAAGATTGCACGACGCGCAGATTTTTCTTTGCAGCACGGCCAACTATAAGATTACAGTTCCATAGAAGGGCTAGATGCTTGCCTCACGGCAGTATTCGACTGTAAGCCCACCTACACTTCTTTCATATATATCTGAAATCGTTGCATCATCGCAAACGCTTAGCTTGTAAAAGCCTCCAGGAAAATTATTCCGGTTTCATACAGTCGGACCAATGATTGTGTTATACCCTCCGGGCAAAGATGACAGAATTGATTTAGTTGCCTTGATTTGTTCCGAAAATGAAACAGTAAGCAATTAGAAAATGTACCCACTGTAATAGTACGTTTTCGGAAGCCCGTTCTCCAACTGACACCAAGCTTTAATATATTCAACAAAGCTCGCCACGAGCCTCGCTTAAATGATTGTTTTCTTGCCTTGGCTCGTTCGCTTCGACAAATAGCCAAAGAATCAATTCATGAACCGCAAAGGCGCATAGACGATGGAATTTTAAGATAGCTAGATACTTAGTAACCCCTCGAATAAAGTAAGATATTGGTTAGAATAACATCTTTAGCATAACCTATGGTGTGCACTATCCAAAACCTCTTGCTTTCGAAGTCCCATCTGCTTGGTTAGCATGATTTTGCTTTTAAGCGGCATTATAGTACCATCTTTGATACTTTTGAGTTTGACTGTGAGTCCGAGAGACACGCGTTAACAGTAGAGTGGGGTGCATGTACGTCAATACAGTATCTACTCGGTTATACCTGTGACAAACACAGCGCTGTAGAAAAAAAAAGAGATTACTCGCATCTTTCAAGGTCAAATTAGGACCCTCTCCTCCGATGGATAAAGTCCCGCGCCCCAAGCGACAAATTACGGACCCGAAATACTGTTCTGCATCTAATGCTGAACTCATCACTTCATTAAACAACGCGGGTCTTGATACGAGCTGCCACTAACGGGAACGGATATCCTCTATGATGATGATAATTTATTTCCTGAAAACGATCAGCCAATATGCCGGTCAATTAATTTTTTGACTGGAATTTCAATGTAAGGCCCAGACCGAAAGTTAGCGCTTCAGGTTATATACATTTTTATCAGATATATCCGTATTGTAAGAATTCCCACAAAGTTTATTGCAAATGCAGTATTCTCATTGGCTCAAGAACATCTCTATATTTTTTCGAGGTCATCTCATTAATCAAAACCTGATGGTGAGGTTGCAAAGGTGGGATTTGTATTGGTGTATAAGAGAATATGGATACTTGAATAACGATGCCGAGGCTAGAAGCAATCTATGAGGTCGACACCACGCGGTCAGGGTATAGACTGTTACCGTCAGTAGTACTATTGCATTTTGTTTTACGACATTTAATGTAAGTTTTGATGTTCCCAACACAAAAAAATAAGCAAGCAGAATGATGTTCTACAACGGATTCGATCCCGGGTCTACTTGAAAAAATGCCAGCTATCCTTATCGCTAAGACCAAATCGAAGGACACACAAAACGTATGTATATATTTATTTGAACGTACGAACGACCCACATCAAAGAAGGACATAACTTACATCGTGCATGGAGTGGTGATAATCTATCACATTTCAGACGGCGCCCGAAAATATAATAACATGGTTGTGCAAAATGTGAAAGAAACTGATGTTTTGTCAATGTCATCAAGCATTGAGTATATCTTAGATTTATTCGTAAGTCATTGTTTTAGAAGTCGGGTAATGAAAGAATGAGTTATTATAACACTCGGCAATAGACATAGTGTTTTCACCTCTGAACTAAATTTGAAGCTTTTGGGTGAACAGTTGCGCTTCTTTCGCATAAACTAAACCAGAAGGCAGACAAAAGCAAACTTGCCTTTCGATTTGGTCTTAGCGATAAGGATAGCTGGCATTTTTCGAGTAGATCCGGGATCGAATCCGTTGTAGAACATCATGCTGCTTGCTTTATTTTGTACACACTTCT